CCCACACACACACACACACACACACCCAAACACATACACACACACCACGTTTGTTTAGGTTCATTCCCAACGGTTTTCTTTGTAGGTGTGTTTTTGTTTTAACTTTGAGTTTCCTTTTCGGTACACGTTGGTTGTTACAAGCAGTATACTGATCTTCTGCATCCCGTTCAACTACTCACTCATAGTTAAATTCGCTCTAAAATCTTTTCATGCCCAACTGCAACTCATATTGGAGGCGTTATCTGTTGTCCATTCTCGCTCATCGTAACCGTTCATGAGTAAACTGGCCTATGTCGCCATTGTCCTCAACAAGGAAGATACCTCTATGGGCTGGGTTAATACTTCTACATATTCACAAGGACGTTTACAGTGCAGGAGTGTAACAACGAAGTGTGCGTTCCATCAGCTTTGGTTTGTCTTGCAGGTATGCTATAGAAATTAGAAGTACATGTAGGTTATTCTTACAATGTATATAATAAACTATATCATGTATACTACTTTTCTGACGCTTTGTTTTAAATATTGATTTATTGCTTTATTAATACAATGTTTCATGAAACATTTGTTTAAATATCGAATTTATTTTACGTCATACAATCTGTCTGTTTTATTTGTACACCTTTGTTCTCATCATACGATCAAGTCAAACATGTTAAGTTTCTTACGCCTACGATGAATCAGAAAATACCACAGAGAGATTTAACAATGTAGATATTTAATAAATCCAAAGGCAATCACGTATTTCATTTATCTACCTTGGCATATACCAATGAAAGTAAGTATTATCAACGAAAATACGAGTGAAGTCGAGCCACTTTAATACTAGTTAACTTATTGTGTATATACATCTACATAAACAGGATAAACCAGTCCAATGCCTCCATTGTGTATCATAGCGATGACTTTCAGTTCTCTGGCTATCAGGACTAAATACACTGTGATGTTAACGATGTACTATAATTTATAATTTTATACTTTATATATGTATCACATTTAAATGTGGTTGGGTTGGTCTGTAACATATATTGAAGTTACAGCCTGTCGACTATACTCGGCAAACGTATTGGTATACATGTGTACAGAAACGCAGTAATGGCGACTAATGACTTCATTGCTATTATATCAAGGAAGAATACATCGGTTGGTTAAGCACCAACTTAATACCTGTCACTACTTACACTGTGTTACAATGACTGGTTTCCTTTACAGGTGGACCCGTTTGCTCATGACGTGGACATTCATACAACTAGTGTTTTCAATTATATGTGTCGCAGGTAAGGACAATATTCAATAAACATTGCCGCCTCTCCTTAGAAATAGTATCACCGTAATAAATGCGTAATAAGTTTGTTTTAAACACGCACAGTAATTGGAAACTACTGTGCAGGCTTTCGAAAACTTCTGTTAGTTTTGTCAAGCAATGAGTGCAAATGAACGAACAGATGTTTTCGAAAGCTCGCAAAAGAAGTTTTCAGTAAATGTTTGTGTTCGAAATAAAATTTGCATTTTTTATTTCTACCACACAAGCTACTAGACTTAATTAGCTGTCATACATCTGTATCACGGAAAAGCTACTAGACTTACTTAGCTGTCAAACATCTGTATCACGGAAAAGCTACTAGACTTACTGAGCTGTCATACATCTGTATCACATCACGGACAAGCTACTAGAGTTACTGATCTGTCATACATCTGTATCACAGACAAGCTACTAGACTTACTGAGCTGTCATACATTTGTATCACGAACAAGCTAATAGACTTGCTGAGCTATCATACATCTATATCACGGACAAGCTACTAGACTTACTGAGCTGTTATACATGTGTATCACAAACAAACTACTAGACTTTCTGAGCTGTCATAGATCTGTATCATATCACGGTCAGGCTACTAAACTTACTGAGCTATCATACATCTGTAACACGGACAAGCTACTAGACTTACTGAGCTGTCATACATCTGTATCAAGGACAAGCTACTAGACTTACTGATCTGTCATGCATCTGTATCACGGACAAGCTACAAGACTTACTGAGCTGGCATACATCTGTATCACGGACAAGGAACTAGACTTACTGAGCTGTCATAAATCTGTATCACGAACAAGCTAATAGCCTTACTGAGCTATCATACATCTATATCACGGACAAGCTACTAGACTTACTGATCTGTCATACATCTGTATCACGGACAGGCTACTGGACTTACTGAGCTGTCATACATCTGTCCCCCGGACAAGGAACTAGATTTACTGAGCTGTCATACATCTGTATCACGGACAAGGAACTAGACTTACTGATCTGTCATACATCTGTATCACGGACAGGCTACTGGACTTACTGAGCTGTCATACATCTGTATCCCGGACAAGCTACTAGACTTACTGAGCTGTCCTTACTGAGCTGTCATACATCTGTATCAAGGACAAGCTACTATACTTACTGATCTGTCATGCATCTGTATCACGGACAAGCAACAAGACTTACTGAGCTGGCATACATCTGTATCGCGGACAAGGAACTAGACTTACTGAGCTGTCATAAATCTGTATCAAGGACAAGCTACTAGACTTACTGAGCTGTCCTTACTGAGCTGTCATACATCTGTATCAAGAACAAGCTACTAGACTTACTGAGCTGTCATAAATCTGTATCAAGGACAAGCTACTAGACTTACTGAGCTGTCATACATTTGTATCACGAACAAGCTAATAGACTTACTGAGCTATCATACATCTATATCACGGACAAGCTACTAGACTTACTGAGCTGTTATACATGTGTATCACAAACAAACTACTAGACTTTCTGAGATGTCATAGATCTGTATCATATCACGGTCAAGCTACTAAGCTTACTGAGCTATCATACATCTGTAACACGGACAAGCTACTAGACTTACTGAGCTGTCATACATCTGTATCACGGACAAGGAACTAGACTTACTGAGCTGTCATACATCTGTATCACGGACAAGCTACTAGATTTACTGATCTGTCATACATCTGTATCACGGACAAGCTACTAGAGTTACTGAGCTGTCATACATCTGTATCAAGAACAAGCTACTAGACTTACTGAGCTGTCATACATCTGTATCACGGACAAGCTACTAGATTTACTGATCTGTCATACATCTGTATCACGGACAAGCTACTAGAGTTACTGAGCTGTCATACATCTGTATCACGGACAAGCTACTATAGTTACTGAGCTGTCATACATCTGTATCAAGAACAAGCTACTTGACTTACTGAGCTGTCATACATCTGTATCACATCGCGGACAAGCTACTAGACTTACTGAGCTGTCATTCATCTTTATCACGGACAAGCTACTAGACTTACTGATCTGTCATGCATCTGTATCACGGACAAGCTACAAGACTTACTGAGCTGTCAGACATCTGTATCACGGACAAGGAACTAGACTGACTGAGCTGTCATACATCTGTATCACGGACAAGCGACTAGACTTACTGAGCTGTCATACATCTGTATCTGATCTGTCATACATCTGTATCACGGACAAGCTTCTAGAGTTACTGAGCTGTCATACATCTGTATCACGGACAAGCAACTAGACTTACTGAGCTGTCATACATCTGTAACACATCACGGACAAGCTATTAAACTTACTGAGCTGTCATACATCTGCATCACGGACAAGCTACTAGATTTACTGAGCTGTCATACATCTGTATCACGGACAAGCTATTAGACTTTGTATCACGGACAAGCTACTAGATTTACTGATCTGTCATACGTCTGTATCACGGACAAGCTACTAGAGTTACTGAGCTGTCATACATCTGTATCACGGAAAAGCTACTAGACTTACTGAGCTGTCATATATCTGTATCACGGACAAGCTACTAGATTTACTGATCTGTCATACATCTGTATCACGGACAAGCTTCTAGAGTTACTGAGCTGTCATACATCTGTATCACGGAAAAGCTACTAGACTTACTGAGCTGTCATATATCTTTATCACGGACAAGCTACTAGACTTACTGGGCTGTCATACATCTGTATCACGGACAAGGAACTAGACTTACTGAGCTTTCATACATCTGTATCACGGACAAGCTATTAGACTTACTGAGCTGTCATACATCTGTATCGCATCACGGACAAGCTACTAACCTTACTGAGCTGTCATACATCTGTATCACGGACAAGGAACTAGACTGACTGAGCTGTCATACATCTGTATCACGGACAAGCTACTAGATTTACTGAGCTGTCATATATCTGTATCACGGACAAGCTACTAGACTTACTGAGCTGTCATACATGTGTATCACGGACATGCTACTAGGCTTACTGATCTGTCTTACATCTGTATCACGGACAATCTACTAGACTTACTGAGCTATCATACATCTGTATCACGGACAAGCTACTAGACTTACTAAGCTGTCATACATCTGTATCACGGACAAGCTACTAGACTTACTGATCTGTTATACATCTGTATCACGGACAAGCTACTTGTCTTACTGAGCTTTCATACATCTGTATCACGGACAAGCTACTAGACTTACTGAGCTGTCATGCATCTGTATCACAGACAAGCTACTAGACTTACTGAGCTGTCATACATCTGTATGACGGACAAGCTTCTAGACTGACTGAGCTGTCATACATCTCTATCAAGGACAAGCTACTAGACTTACTGAGCTGTCATACATCTGTATCACAGACAAGCTACTAGACGTACTGAGCTGTCATACATCTGTATCACGGACAAGCTACTGGACTTACTGAGCTGTCATGCATCGGTGTCACAGACAAGCTACTAGACTTACTGAGCTGTCATACATCTGTATCACGGAAAATCTACTAGACTTACTGAGCTGTCATACATCTGTATCACGGACAAGCTATTAGACTTACTGAGCTGTCATGCAACTGTATCACATCACGGACAAGCTACTAGACTTACTGAGCTGTCATACATCTGTATCACGGACAAGCTATTAGACTTACTCAGCTGTCTTACATCTGTAGCACGGACAAGCTACTAGACTTACTAAGCTTTCATACATCTGTATCACAGACAAGCTACCAGACTTACTGAGCTGTTAAACATCTGTATCACGGACAAGCTACTAGACTTACTGAGCTGTCATACATCTGTATCACGGACAAGCTACTAGACTTACTGAGCTGTCAAACATCTGTATCACAGACAAGCTACTTGACTTACTGAGCTGTTATACATGTTCATCACGAACAAACTACTAGAATTTCTGAGCTGTCATACATGTGTATCACATCACGGACAAGCTACTAAACTTACTGAGCTATCATACATCTGTATCACGAACAAGCTACTGGATTTACTGAGCCGTCATACATCTGTATCACGGACATATATCTGTATTACGGACAACCTACTAGACTTACTGAGCTGTCATACATCTGTATCACGGACAAGCTACTAGACTTACTGAGCTGTCATACATCTGTATCACATATCACTGACACGCTACTTTCTGAGCTGGCATACATCTGTATCACATCACGGACAAGCTACTAGACTTTCTGAGCTGTCATACAAACATAATTAACTTAAATTGTCGTCATTTTATTAAGCGTGATTAACATTGATACCGGTTAGACAGTTTTGATACAGGTATGGCTAACTATGACCTTAACACCTGTTTTTATTCTCCTTGTTGAAACCTGGCGATATTGTCCTTGTACTTTTTAAACGGTCTCCGTTCATTTTTCCCTCGTGTGATATTTTGCCCTATTTTGTTATCGCTTTTGAGTTTGAACTACAGTTCTGTCGATATTATGGAAAATTTAAATAGGTTTAGATAATGCTGTACGAGACTTCGATATCGTATCTTAACACATTTCTAGTACACTCACAAACGCTTATGAGAAAGTTACATCTATCAATGAAACGACGTACCAAAAAATCAAATAAAACATTATTTTCATGCTAAAAATACCATTTTACTTAATTTCCTTCAAAGTCTCGATGTTTATAAGTAACCATGGTTATTGCATTTAGGTGCAGAATATTACGTGTATACGAATGGTGAGAAGGCCAATGAAGGGAATGTACAAATTAACGACGGTTCGACCTGGTTTGACCTTTGTACAGACGGATGGGATGATACGGACGCGACAGTGGTGTGTCGTATGCTAGGCTACACGGGGTAAGAGAGCGAGGTTATGACGGATACAAAGTTGGACCATATCAAAGAAAACCAAATGTGCAACAGGTGTAATATAATACAAAATGCAGTTTGTACGTTAATTATAATAAAAAATCCATTCATTTAATGGGAAAAGATACACAAGGTAAGTGAACGAGGTAGTCTGGTGACATGTTTGTATACGTTTAATACTGTGGCGTCTTAATGTCGTCTGCTAGGTTACAAAGGGTAAGATAGTAGTATACAGTGTACTTACTGCATGTCTCATGTACGGCGGTAAAAATAGGTGCATCATAAAACACACCACAGTATGTACGTTGATTATAATAAAAATAACCAAAACACATCCATGCGATGGAAAAGAAAATGTTTAGAAGAAATACGCTACTCATAATTATATCATTTTGTCTAGCATGATTTACATGAAGTACTAGTTTAAGTTAAAAATATATGTTGAAGACTAAAGTTGTAGACCTTTAACGTTTTAAATATTTGTATAAGCACCTTACTTTTTACTCTACTCTATGTAAATATACAGAACACCTTTCATTCTTCTGTTTTTATTGTCACCGATGAGTTTTAATTGGACGAAATCGTCGTATGGCGCTGTAAAATGTTTGCTTTGTTAGACATCCTGCACTTACTAACTTTGTTTTCGTCTTATTTCTAGTGATCATATTCTTTAAATGTATTTAAATGCAAACCCATTATATGAGACAGACCTCCAAAAGCCACTAAAGGTCAGACTAAGAGAAACAATACGTCTTGGGACCTGCAAATAACCGTTCGGGCATCAATTGTTTGTGTCGCTTCAAGTTTTACAAACTGTTTCTGGACTTTATCTGAGATAAGTAATATTTTATTTTTCAGTGGTGGAGCTACTGCTAGTATTAACGCCAATGGGTCTACGTTTTCCTCCATGGTACAGTACAAATTTGATTGTGATGGTACCGAAACGTCTCTCCAGGACTGCCAAACAAGTAGCAGTAACCAGACCGTCTGCCAAAACAGCTCTTTTTCCCACGTGTCATGTGCTGAAAGTGAGTATGTAAATTAGATTGTGTATTTGATATGGTATTTTTTCCTGTACATTATTGTGACGTACATATGTAGATCAATTATATATGCTTCTGACAAAGAAAATTATTATTTTTATACAAGGGTTGTACCGTTTATATCACTATTTGTTTTTTATGATCATTATAGTTCCTGTGCCGAGTGATTTCTTTCTACTGACGTTTGATGCTTCTATTGCAAAAATGGATCGAGCATCTGGAAGTCTTTCATTGGTGCAAAATGGATTTCTTGGCGAACTAAGAGCTATTACTTACGATAGTTTACAGGGCAACATAATCTGGACGGACATTCAATTGAACCAAATTGCGTTATGTGCGCTCAACGGAGGGGAGACAACCGTGATTTATCAGGCCGGAAACGGTAGGAGATTAAGTTTATTATTGTATATATGACATTTAAACATTACTAGTCATTAAAAATGATATATGAAATCACAAACACACATAAAACGGATATCTCATAGTATGCATTAAGAGTATGGACTGGATGGGTCTAGCAGGTTGTGATTCCCCGAGATCAGACACTGGCTAAGTACCTTCTCCAAATACCTGTAACTAAGCGAGATCGGGTTATTTCAGTCGAGGGCTAAGATTCTGTAACATAATATCAACCGGGGCGTAAGTCGAGGTTGGGATGTTACAGAATCTTAGCCCGAGACTGTGATAACCTGATCTTGCTCAGTTAGAAGTAATTGATTTTTTCTCGCACCTTTTAGTTCGAAAAAACACTATTCAACTATGCTAAAGGCTATAAGTGTCCCATATGGTGCTTCAAATAAGAATGACCTTTTACTACTAAAGCTACATTTGAATGCTTCCACATAAAAAAGTAGTCCGTCCTGACAAAGAAGACAACGTATTTTCTAGTGTAGATCATATTTTTCTACAACATCAGATATCCGACAATATCAAACCAGACAGATCGGACGAGATAGAGATAGAAAAATATAGCACTGGATATGACGTGGTATATCTCTGTCTGAGGTGACGTTGCATGCTTTATGACGTCATACTTAAGCAAGCAACATGGATCGAACTTAATGCTGTTGATATATATTTGCAAAATTACCTTATGTTTTCAATCAATGTTTTCAGGCAGCAAGATGGACGGTATTGCAATGGACGTAACTTCCCGCCTAATATTTTATACTGACACCGGATATGACGAAATTGGATTCATCAACGCAGACACTTTCGTAAAAACTATTGTGGTCGATACCAATCTGGATGAGCCAAGAGCCATTGTGTTAGATACACAAACAAGGTGAAATCATCTTTATGGATATGAATCGTGCTGTAAATGTTAAAACTGAACCCCTGTTCACATGGGGTTGAGGATAGTCCGAGGCAGAGATACACAGCTAGTAAACAAAGTTGTGTACTCAAGTTGTTTACATTTGGTAAATTTATGTTGGAGGGTACACAAACAGACTGTAGCTGTACGTTTTCCTGGTCAAAATGAATATGCGATGACTTATAACAAATGTGATAAAGAATCCTCATACCACTTCCAAAGGCTGTTACCAATTAATAGAAACTGGTACTTTCCGGCGTGATGACAGCTTTGATAAATAATTTCTGAAAGAAAACCGTACCCTATGGGACTTAAAATGAAAAATAATAAAGATGAAATCAACAAAAAAATATTAACGATTGTAATCTGAGTATTACAAAGTCAGCGGGGCTAGACCGGAATTCGAACCTTGGACTTCAGATTATTATTCCATTTCTCTAACCGATTATGCTACCTGGTCAACGGATATCTACTTGCCCATCTGTGCTATAGTTGAATCTAAACGAAGTTTAGGGGAGGTTACTGTATTTACGAAAAGCCACAGTGTAGTGGGACAGGGATCCTTAATTGTACATGATTTTCCAAATTCAAGCTTTTGCCTTTTCAGAACTACATTGCGCTTTTTTAAATGTATATTGTTGGATCAATGACGGCGTTCTGTCAGTACATTCTTGAAATATTGGCTCTGCATTGTTGGTACATTTTGATGCAATGATATTTGTTGATATATGATTTTGATATATCGAGGATAAATCTATATACACTTGTTGTTGTATTTATGATTTGTATGTTTTTATTCAGTGCTATCTTATTGGTGAAGTGTAAATGTGGTACTTGTATGCTGTTGACTAAATTGGTTTACATGTTTATTGTGTGAGCAGAGAAATTTTCTGGACAGACTGGGGAACAAGTACTGCGATTGAAAAATCGAACTATGACGGTTCCAACAGGACAACAATTGTCAGTACTGGGCTTGGCTGGCCAAACGCTATGGTACTCGATGGTAAGTCATTGTGTATGTACTGTTATTCTACGATTCATCGCAAATTGTGTTTACATTTCAAGTTTCGTGTCGATAATTGACATTATAGTAAAACGCGCTATAATTACTAGAGAAAAGTATATTTGTGAATATTCTTGCAGGTGATCTGTTGATATGGTGTGATGCTAAGAACGATGTCTACGAACAGGTGCATCGAGGTGGCACGGGAAGGACTACCTTAAGAACATTAATCGGAAGCCAGTGTTTTGATTTCATTTTGTTCGAAGACTATCTATATGTTAACGATTTCCATTATCAGTAAGTAATTCTAGCTGTTATTTTCTCGGTATAATTTACTACCATTGAACCATATCGAGAACTCTCGTATAAAGTACACACCTGCAAACATTATACTTTAGTTGTTGCGGACAACTTATAATCAGCATAGTCCCCAAAAACGATCCTTTAAGCACAACAATTTCAGTTTACGAACCGTTAAATAATGTACCCTGTGCTATTAGAAACTGGGTTTTTTTCTGGCATGACTATAACTTTAATAAATAAGTTCTCAGAAGAAATTCAAACCTTATAAAACACACAAAAAGAATAATAGTAAAAAAGGTAAAATAAATCAAACATGATAAACAACATTGTTCTGTGTGTAATTATACCGCATTGTTAGATCGGGATTCGAACTCTGGAGTTAAGATAGTTATTCTACTTCATAAACGGAAGTGTCCTGGCCTAACTATGCTGTAGTAATATCAGAAATGAAATCAAAGAGGGGTACTGTATATACAAAACAAATGACTGTGAAGTGGAACAGAATTGTTTAAAGCATAATTTATGGTGGTGTTTGTGCTATTACAATGCTGTTCCTATTTACAATGAAAGCTTCCATTGATCATGTACGTTGGTACAAGTGTTGGTTTTTGTTCCTGCTTGTGTGCTGTATGCTTCAACTATTTATTGTATTCCGACAGAATAACTTATTAACTGATTTTATGATATAGGACTTTAAGTATATGTAGTAAGTTACGGGTACTACTACCTAATCTATAGTGAGGTAGAACATATCTTCTAAGGGGCTTTGTTATTCTTGCTATGAGTAACTTGTAACTTCCCTTTTCAAGATATGTATCTTCTTTCATAACATTGTCCCTTTATAATTCCTGTATAACAGCGATCAAATGTAGACTAGACATTGTAAAGGTCCTGTTTTTTCTGCTTTCTGGTGGTTTTTTATTTCTTAATTGAAACATTCGAATTTCAAACCATTATTTATTATGTAAGCTACACCACAACAGGTGTTTGTTGTGCTATACTTAACATTACAAAAAAAAAGAGTTTCAAAAATATTTCAAAATAGAAACATCGGAATTAATAACTTAAGTTTAATTGCTGATGCGCTTTACCTTAAGAACGCAAATATAAAGGCAAATTATTCAACCTCTCCCTATCAGCTATCGAATCGATAAATATTGTTCAATACGGATATTTTGCTTTTATATTATCTGTACATTCGTCTGTCGGTTCACAGGAAAATATACTTATATTCACAGACAGATAGTTCGAGTGAAAACAGACGGCACTCAGTCTTCGTTATATGGACCACTTTTGTCTAAGCGATATGGAATATATCATCACATACAAGGTAACACCAACCATACCAATAGGCTCATTTTCATTAAGTCTACATTTACCATTAAGATTTAAGTAGTCTGTTTGTTGATCCCTACGTAATTTACAAATGAATTGATATAACGATGATCTTTTAACACAGAGAGTGCAATCTTTGCGATTAAATTACTGCCACGCAAATTGTGGTACACTTCGTTCAGAACACTCATGATATGTTTTCTCCAATTGTTACTTTTTCTATATCGAATCAATTTATGTTGCTATAAATATAAAACATCTACTTGTACAGAAAAACCTTTTTCTCAAATACTTGATGAATAGGAAATGGGGGTTCTGCATAAAATCCGTCCCACCCTCTATATTTATAGCAAATCCCTCCCTATCGGGATGGATCAGTGAGAGACCAGTGAGGGATGAGGGACTGACCACATGGCCTTTCATAGGAATTCCCTCTCAAAATAAATTGAATACGCCATAGGGAACATTGAGGGACTACCTTGCGTCAAGTCTTTTTTTTTTAGACCAACTGGTTATAGCATGTAGACATATATTCGCTCAGTATAAATAACTGCGACAAGCTTATTATTGTTCCATAGTTTAACGTTTTACTGTCCCGGTATAATTCGTTAATCTGCAAACCTGTATGTTTCCCTATCACAACGATAAATCCATTGAGATTAAAACCAAGCTTAGATTTGGTTTCATAAAAAATATATATGGACTCTTCAATTTTCTGTAAAAAAACGCTTATATCTTTCAGATATGTAAAATAATGGTACAGAAAAGGATACATTTTTTTCGGAATTGAAATCCTTTGTTGCTTAGCTATTGTTTGTATACGAAGCCGTGCTCGTTTTTCTCAAAGATCGTCAAATTGATCACATGCTTTCTCACGTGACAATTCTGTCTTCACCTCGCCACAAAAAAAAAAGATTTTGAAGTAAGCATACAAAAGCAAATAAGTCAGGTTTTACACCTGTGATTGTACTTTCTTATGCACATCTAGTTGTAGGATAATACAATATGGTTTTAAGATTATCAGGTTCACTGTGAAACACAACAATCGCCAATAATTAGCATATTGTAAGGCGAGTAGTTCCCGGTCTTCGTTGAAGATGAAATTAGCGGAGACCCAATAGAGGTATCGATACTCTGTCGGAGCGGCACATATTTATCATCATTTATCATCTTTTTTAAAGTTTATTTTTGGAGTGTGATTAAATATTATAAATAACAATATGTTTTCCTCATATTTATTATCTATGCTTTATTATTTTAATAATACTATACATAATAATCAAACTATATACCAGCTATATTCATAACCACAAGGCCGAAAGTTTACAGGAAAATTGTGTCTCTTTTGGTTAAAACTTTTTTTATTCAAATTTTGTTTGACAATACATCGAAGTACATGTTTTATAGAACAGAAAAGGAAACAAAATCAAGTTATACCTTTGACATTACTTACAAACCGATTGTAGTGCATTGGATGTGACGATTTTGTGAATGAGTTATCTGTTGATTATTTTGTTTTATATATATTCTTTTTTTTTTTTTTTTTTTTTTTTTATATGCAGCTAATTGACCCTTGCATTAGCTAATTTAGCAAGTTTAACTGTTTGACCATAGTACAGACTTACAAAGACATGGTCATGTCCACAGAAGAATAAGAACAATCTCTATTGGTACAATGTTGTTGTTTTTTTTTTTTTTTTTTTACAGCATACAAATCATTACTGGCTCTTCTAGGGCTCTTCACACAAATCTTGCCTGCACATTTTGAGCTCCGATATTGGAACAGTTCGGCGGTGTGAACAAAATTACCAACTCATTTTGACGTACATGTACTAGTTACTTTTAGAATTACTTACACAAAGAGACTGGGGTTGTGGAGTTCTTGATGTACCTTGGAAAATGAAGAAACATTGCAGTGGTTTTGATAATTACAATAATGTAACATAGTTATTTCAACTTTGATTTATGAAATAGTTTCACTTTGTTTAAAACAACAACAAAGTAACAAAATATCAAAATATTTTTAACATCTATTGCACTTACAGCTGCCCCGTGAAAAAATCAAAAGGTATGTATTCAGTCAAAACACAATAATGCAGGCTCTATTATATATTTACTCTCCATGTTAAGCTTCTCTGCTCTCTTCGTCATCAAATGAATCAGCTCACTACACACAGTTTCACCATGTTTGTTTCCTTCTCGGACACACGCATGCGCAGAGTTACATACGAGTGTTAACGTACGAGTTTGTTACGGGTCACAGACTTTTATTTAGAGTGTTTCTAGCATTAATACAATATTCTGGCAGATACTTTTGATTAGCGTAATTAAGAAAAGGGGTAAGTTTTGTAGCACACTTCTAAAACAGTTACTTTAATGATATTTTCAACAGTGATGTTTACCATTATAGTCCCTTCAAATCTACTGCAAAAGCCAATCTAATTACCTCTTAGTTGAATAAACATATACCAGAATGACGACATCATCAAATAAATCTTTCCAAACACATGATTATAGGGGGGTTTACGTGCAATAAATATATACAATAAACCAAGTCAAGAATTGAGCTATGCCTATTTGTGTTTTATGTTTATAATATTAAGATATAAGTTATCCGACATTACACCAACTCTTTTTGGCATTACGCCATGACCATACCCACTGCACAAAAGTGTTGACATCTATACATGCACTTATATACATAATCACGTGCGGGTTGACGAGGTCAAAATAACTTTAGTTCTATTTGTCCTTAATGAATACAACGACTACAGATATTTGGCATAAACCGTCACTCTATACATGTATTATGCAATATGAATATGCTTATGTTGGTCCGTGGCAATCTATTTTTACTGCCAGGGAGTGGATTTAATCATTTGAGGGTCCCTTCTTGTTTGAAATATATGTACATGTAAGTTATAGATTTTTACTGAAAAGATATACCTGAAATACAGAGTTGATATGATACCCTTTTCTTTTTCTTTTTTTGCTTCTGTTGCCTCATTGAACTGACATCATGTTCCAATTTAGTTAGATATTGATTGTTTGACAAATATATCACATTCTGTTACCTGGCTTCGGTATCACAAACATTTCCTCAAATCTCAAGCTCAAATCTTAAGTTTGAACTCAGCTGAGATTTACCGCCAAATGGGTATCACAAAGCTGGTAAAACTTAAGCTCGGCTGGTTAAACTCAAGCTCAGCTGAGCTTGCCGACGTAAACTTCCGCTGAACTCTTCACACCTAAAAGAGCACATTTCTCGTATCAAGACTGTGCAGTTTTTCGCGCGATGTCGCACTTGTTGTGTGTCAAATCACATGTTTACGCTGAAAGAATTTTGAAAGAATTTAATATCATTAAACGAAGAAGAGGTATAATCTTTGTAACAGTTTTTAAGTACAATAACACTGTTTTTAACAACATGCATTTACTTCACTCAAAATAAATCAGAACATGCTATAAACGTGTTCATGCGATCGATTCCCGTGTCCGTCAGTTTTCGAGGTAAGCAAAGGCAAAGGTGTTAGAAAGCTCCTATGATGAAAATAAAGATTAATTTGTAACCTGTGTGGTCAAAAAGATTCCGTTAACGACAAAGATCTAGAGGAAATGGCTACGTCGCGGACATTGCGTTTACTTTGTACTCAATACTTGGTACCACGACGTGATCAAGAATATACTGCAGGTGCGACACAAAACGGGCGAGTGTTATGATTCCCTTTATTCAAACTTAAGACAAGAAATTAAGTGACAATTTCTTTTGTAAAATTTGAACACCCAATAACCACAGGTCTACCAATCGGGACTGGGAGATGTATTGTACATAGTCGTGACTCAAAGACTATTCATAGTAAAACCTAACTTTATTGTTGGTACTTTTAAGTGACATTGCCTAATACATGTAGCTAATCAAGACGTGTATATATTCCTTCGATTATACAATACACATGTATATATATGTTATATTTTGAGGTGAAAGGGTTCGATATAATATGTCTAAAAACGCACTTTTTAATGTGAAGCCTAATAGATATTGTCCTTGATTTCCTTAATCCATCACATTTTACAAATAATAGACTTACATTGTTGCAAACATTTATTAAATACGGGTTTAAAAATTCCACATGAACGATATTCATTTCTTCTGGTTACTTTACGTTGTCATTGATCGTCATTTAATCATTATTGCAATTGGCATAGGTAGTGAGAAGTGATTCCTTATAATGTGAAATGTAGTAAATGCAGAAAATTTTGTATTATGGAAATTTCCACAATCCACCTCCATCTTTTTTTCAAACATTTTTTTTTAAAATCTAAATATTTTTTTGTTAAAATGATCTATTTATATACATCATGTTATCTACATGTACCTATATGTACAGTCCCGTGCCAAATTAAAGTTCACAGTTATCTTTTTCCCTCTTAATTTCCTGCATTTCTTCATATATCAGTGAGTTTTCCTGATCTCATTTATAATGTTACTTATCGAGAGAAATATTTGAAACATGAAAAAGAGTTATCTGGATATTTCTTTCACAATGCGGTTAATTTTTTTCGTTGAGCGATTTTCAAGATGTGCTAATTATTATGCAGAGGAAACTATACTTTTTGCATAACGTCATTTTGTTCTTTATCTTACTAAAAGTTTATGGTAAAATATGTAATTCCTGAGATACAGCTGTTGTATCTTGAAAACTGCGAAACTGCAAATTATGAAAATATAACGAGAAAAAATAACCCCAGACATTTAATGGATTTTAAAAGCCATGCAATCGTATGTACATGTAAAACAACGACCGTTCATAGAATTATATCATATGTATATATTTTGTTATCTAAATCTGTTGGATATATCTACATACACATTTAAAGATTGCAAATACACCGCAGAACTACCATGTGGTGAGATACACAGGGACCTGATAATTTGTAACCGCTATATTTGGACCTAAACTATTTACTCTGAACACCTTACGTTAGGTCTAAATATAGCAGTAACACATTTTAAGGTCCCTGTGGCATAATACTCCAATCTAGTCATTCCTTTGCCCCACTTTTATCAATCATTGAAATCATGTTTCACAAGGAAATTATTTTTGTTTGTTCAACTGGTTCTGTATATACTTTGGTATAAAATAGCATATATTTAAACTACTTGGTTTAAAACCTTAAATGCGTTCATGGATGATAAGTCGCTGTCTGGTGCATTTAATTAAGTCCCGCAATGTATTTAGTATTACTGATCATGGTCAGTAGGCGCTTCTAACGATCAGACGACGTTCTTGAGAAATTACATTACGAGGTATTTGCATCGTTTTTGTTATTTTTCATAATGAAATATATACTGTTATGTGTAAATTATGGAAACAAATTACTGATTGTACCCAGAATTGCATGTCAACACATTCAAATGTTGTTATTTTACCGAAATATTGTCTATATTGTAACATCATCTCGGAGCACAAGGTGGCAGTACCCAAATCGGATCGGTACCCAAATCGGATTACTTTTTGCAAAACTACTCATAAAAAAATAAATGTGTCAACAAATCAGTTATAACAATGATGTAGTCTTAGAATAGATAGCCATGCACCATTTTATGACTACAGATAATTAGTTTTTTAAGTTCAAATAGCGCAAGAAAACGTAATTCAAACTCAAATGTCAATGTTTTGATTACGTTTTTAAAAAATGGCGCGTGCGACGACTATGCACTCTGTTTTGGACTATAGCTAGCAATTCACACTATAGAAATACTTTTTGTCATATACATTCTAAAGGTTATCATAAAATGTTAATATGCTGACAAAAAAATATTCATTTGAAGCGTACGATACTGCAAAATTCAAGCCGTGATCCGATTTGCGTCCCGACATTCTCAAAAACCGGAGACGCTGATTGGTGACTTCAGAGCGTTCTATAAATATCTCAAGTGAGCCCAGGGTGCTAATTTCGTTTGTGAGAACACCCATCGATATTCTTTTTTTGATACAACCATAAATGAATATAATTCCTCCTCAGATTTTTCAATGATTTAATAAAATGATCGTTTGGTGATCCGATTTGGGTACTATCACCTGCCCAAAGTCGGTCCGACTTGGACACAAACAAGCCACGATATATCGTCTTACAAAAAGTAAAATAACATGAAAATACATCATTTAAAATATCACATGCTCAGCTTTCATGTAAAGTCCTTTGGTTGGAAACTATAACGCATAGATTATTTATATTTCAAATCGCACTCGGGCCCAGGGCTATCGTATTCGGACCCATTCATCTCGGACTCATTTTACAGCTTATTAAAACGACTGTATTTTCAACAAATGGCAAATAAATTGACAATATTTATGGTTTACCTGCATAATTGTCTAGTAAAGATTGTGTGTGTCTCCAACACTTTGGATGATTGTGACAAATCAATATTGTAAAAGCATTTTCTTGTCATTACAAGCCTGCCATTTTATAGCAAACAGTTTCGTTCCGGAGCTTGAGTTCGAACTTAAGTCTGCTCTTGGGCAGTCTCAGCTTTTTGTGCTCAGCTTGAGGCGTTGAGCTGAGTTTTTAGTTTGTGATAACGAAATACGAACGCTGAGCTTGAGTTCTTGAGTTCGGACTCAAATCTCAGCTTAAGTACGTTTGTGATACCGAAGCCTGTACACGTAAATGTGAGTAGAAAATCTTACTCTGGCACCATAGCTTTCCTTATTATAGGGAAGCAGACACGATTAAGCAATAAGAAGGTATCGGCCGGACCTGTCAGTGAGAGTATTTACAGCTTTGTATACTTTGATTAAAGATTTAGGTGTAAAATGATGACGCACCCGAATTGTGAACCTTACAACCAAAAATTATAATAATGTCTCACTCAGTGACTAAACAATCAACACGCGATGTGCATAAATGGCTAAATGCTGTTTTTATCTGGAGTCTTACGTTCTGCATGTAAATAGTTACCTTCAATAAGATAGAACGACTACAGATAATAAATGTAAATATTTACTTTCTGTGCGCTGCTTCATTTTAACGAAAGCCCATACCAAACATAAATATCTAAAGACCTTTGTTGTGTACTTCTTTATATTTTGGTGTGATTCGTTTAAACTAATTTGAAGACAAAAGTGTCATTTATATAACCGTGTAGAACGGCCTTTGAAGTATTTCCAACATGGCAACTGCTTATGCTGTAATTAATCATCAAGGCTGTGCAATGTTCAACAATGCGTTACTCATAAGTGAGTCTAATGTATATCTAACTTAGATGTAACATAATAATCCCCGAATTGAAGAAGTTATCAAACATGTCTACGCATTAGATTTAATATCCGTAAAGAGAAATACCCATGATACAACTGTATAGAAGAGTACCATTTTGTCGTTTTCAATGTTGCATATGACCTCCGCTAATAGAGATCCTTCTTGGCAGTTCAAACTTAATTTTGCAGAATTGCTTGAAGTATAACATGTTTTTTAATCGTTCAAAGTGGCATGAACATAAAACCCATTTAACAACCCCTAAACCTGCAAACACAACTGCTTAATAATTATTATAGGGAGTCTCCCATAGAAAATAACTTGACATATTGTGCAAATGGGTGTCCGATATAAGAGCATGACAGCAAAAGTTGTTTAGTGTGCACTGAAAAAAAAAATAACAATTTAAACGTGATTAAACATGTGCTATAGCAAAAACAACGGTTAGACATGTTCATCGTAAAATGTATTTTAAAGTTTCAAGTTGCATTGGCTCTGGCACTTTTTACATCATCCTGGCGGTTCGAAAGCCTTTCGTTAAAATATAATAATGAGGACAGATATCAATAATTGTACATTTAGCATATTCTGTCTAACTTTTGTATCCAGATATATGCAGGACAATGCATTCCACTAACATATATATCAAATTCTTTTGAGCAAAATATGTTAATGCGGTTTTTTATGCTACTATGTCCCTCTTGTTAATGAAGTTGGCATTTCACATTCGATTGTTGGCACCGGATCATATTACACTAAAATGTAGGTATGACATATTGTTATGTTATTAAGTGATAACGGCCTTTCCATAATATACTTACCAACAGTATCGGTACAAAAGTCCTTTATAAGTATCTATCTAGCGTTTAGACGACAACTTTTAGCAGCATTTATCTTATATTCATTTAGTCAATGTATTTCACAAATCCATAGAACTAAACACCTGTAAACAAAATATACAAAAAAAAATAATATAAATTCTGCTGTGCCGCTCCTGCTGGTGGAGTGTACCTGTCACAGTTTGGATTTGCTAATACAGAGCCTGATTGCCAACTATTTCAGTTCTACCAGCATCAAGATTAATGACACGTTTACTCAGGTGAACAGCAGACGTTCCTTGATTTGACAGGATACATTTATGTCATGTACACGTGTTACAGAAAACGCTTTATACTTCCAGAGTACCTGCTATCAGCTTCGTTTTTGACGGTGTTCATGTCCATATCCCTATTAGTATCCCTGTCTCTTTTCAGTCTTCTCAGTTGCTGGTGTATTTTCGTGTTTATTTTAAGTTTCGAATTTTGAACTTTTTTGTTAACGTTGTAATTTGTTTATGTCTGTTTGTTTAAACTACTCCTTGTTCATTGTACTGTCTCTAACATCTTGTCGTGCCAACATGTAGGTCATATTGTAGCGTTATGTGTCGCTCATTCCCGGCCATCGTACATATAGGCCTGAACTAATGTACATATATCCCGTAAATGTGTACAGGCCAGTGTATTCTTTGTCGTCAACTCGGAAGAATAAATCGGTTGAGTAAACACGAACTTTGTACCTATCCGATGAATACTGATTCACACTCACACGGATGTGTATCTATTAACGGTGCAGGGAGGTGATAACGAAGTGAACGTTTTATCAGATTCAGTCTGTCTTGCAGGTATGATGTAGCTATTATGAGTTGTTTATACTTATATAAAATAATATATCATCGTGCATATTTCTGTATATTAACGCATTGATAGGGTTATATTAATATCTTAGTACTAATATTTCGATAGCCATTTGTTTAAATGCTGTAACAAGTTAACGTCATGCAATTTTTCTATTTGTATGTGTACTTTTCCTTGGTAAGCATCTTAAGATTAAGTCAATATTCATAATCCCCGTAAGCATACGTTGGCACCAGAGAACTTATACAGAGATACAACTATATAAGTACCTATATGTTATAATGCAAAGGAGAAATAAATATCGTTTGTGTTCACCTTTTGTAGCAATGATCTATACTTGTTTAGGTTAATATTATCTGCAAAAAACACGAGTGAGCTTGGGTTAATGTTATGACCATTCCTTCATCTAATAAATATTTCTTAATAGTTCTTATAATTTCTATTTAGAATATGACTGAAACATAGACACCCTTTATACATTAATGTTGCGACATTTAGTTTTATTACTATCTGGACGAGAAGCAGGGTCATTGTGATGACATACACACAATTTTACATTTAATGGGCAGACAAAGTTATTTATTGAATTATTTATTACTCTCTTTTTACATTTTTGTTTAATTTTTGGAATTGATCTTGACCTATATCTTTTTCCTTCTGAGAGATGTCTTAAGTCATGTAGTGTTGTTTTTGTATTTTTTGTAGTGTTTCATTTGTGTTCTTGTTCGGTACATGTAACAATGTACTACTCAACATCACATTTACATTAGTTTGCGTCTACTGAAGCTGTTATCTGTTAACTTCAATCGGCTAACGCATTGATATATATATTTGAACATACATGTATTAATTGCGGCCAACGACTTTACTTTTATTGAACAAGGAAGAATAAATCGATTGCGTAAGCACAAACTACTGTTACTGCTTACACCTGTTCACAAGGAATATTTCCCTATACAGGTATACCTGTAGGAGCATGACAATGACGTGGACTTCCATACACCTGGTATATTTACTTATATGCCTCGCCGGTATGTAGACGATTCAATACGCACTAACGTCTCCCTTTAAACATATATTTAAGAGTATTTCTTTCTTTAGGATAATGCATTGTAAGCACGTCGTTAAATACTCGAGCGATAGCAAATAAATGTTGACTAAAGTTGATTCATGTATGTTAAACTTTGATACAAGAATGGCTTGGATATGGTGTTAAACATAGTGTTGTTCTCATTGCCTTTTAATGTAATGTGTTTTTTAGTCAGTAGTTAGCCCTAAGTTACCGTTTTTGAGTTCGGAATACGGCTTCATTAACATCTCGACGAGGAAAACTTAAATATAGATATAGTTGTCCCTACAATACAATAACTATAATTACGATTATTTTAAAGAATATATAACAAAATAATATTTATGCTATTATATAAACGTTTTATTTGAAATCGAAGTATTTTGTTCTATTATATTTATTGTATTTAGGTGCAGAATATTACGTGTTATTGAACGGTGCCAAGGCCAACGAAGGAAATGTACAAATTTACAACGGTTCGACCTGGTTTGACCTTTGTACAGACGGATGGGATGACACGGACGCAGCAGTTGTGTGTCGTATGCTAGGCTACACAGGGTAAGAGAGCGAGATAGTCGACGTACTGGTTTACGTTCAATACAAGAACCAATGTTGATGTTTTACAAATATGGCGTCTTTGTGTCCGTATGCTAAGCTAAACATGGTAAGAGAAGTCTGCACGAGGTAATCCAGGTTTCATGTTTGCGTGTTTAATCAATTACAATGAACTACCTGCTTTTCTTCCATGTGGCGGCTAAATCGTTAGACCAAAACAAGTGTGCACCAAGTGTATTGTAATACAAAATGCAGTATGTACGAAGACAATAACAAAAATATGCATTCATTTGATGGAAAAAGATCATAATAATCTGAGGAACGCTATTCATAATTATCTAGTATGTACAAATGTAAATAATTAAGTCTCCCAAACAAAGGGGGGCTTATTGGTTCTATTCCTCTTCCTCTTCTTCTTCTTCTTCCTCTTCTTCTTCTTCTTCTTCTTCTTCCTCTTCTTCTTCTTTTTCCGCTTTAAAAGTTTCCGACACATTTCTCTGAAACTATTGGACGGAAATGGTATTATCATGGTAAGGGGATGTGCAAATGACCTTTCATTTTCCGATCGGTCAACAAAGATGGCCACCACGGCCTCTGATTGGTCAAATAAAACATTGGTCGATTTTGCTTAAATTTCATATGTAGGTGTATTTTGGCACTGCGAAGATAGCTGCGGGGTGTTTGGGAGACTTATGTACTTGTCCCTCATTACAATTAGTACTTGTTTAGTATTTAAATTGACTTTTATCAAACCCGAGGTTGGCTGTAGCATTTTAGCTGGAATTCAGTCGGACAGGGTAAACAACAGGTACGTGCTTAAATACGAATTTCTGTTGTATCCAAAATATGAAAAAATCCTAACGTGATAAAGGGTTTCTGTTTCGGGTATACTTTGTATTAATAATGCACGTTTTGTAATACTTTATACATAGATTTTTCATTGTTTGACTTAGAACCACTGATGAGTCTATACAGGATGACATGTTTTATCTTTTGTTTCTCTTTGATGGTTACATATCTTAATTATATGATATATGGCACTATGCTAGAAGTTTGTTCTGGATTAATCTGTTACGAGCAATGTCGTACTTTCCAGTGACGGAGCCAAGGCCGGCATTGACACCGATGGGGCTACGTTTTCCTCTCTGGTGCAATCCAAGTTCGATTGTGATGGCAGCGAAGCGTCTCTCCAGGACTGCCAAACAAGTAGCAATAACCAGATTGTCTGTGATAACAGCACTAAATCACACGTTGTATGTGCTGAAGGTTAGTACGTTAATGCACGTTAGTTGTGTATTTGAATATGGCACGTATCATAGTATCATTTTACATCACTGGCTTGATCTGTTGGTATTGCCTTCGAGTAACACATATCAGAATTTTGATAAAAGTTTCGTAACGGATATTTTTCTATAACAATTACAGTACCCCAGCCGAATGATTTCCTTCTCATATCGTTTGGAACGGCTATTGCAAAAATGGATCGAGCATCTGGGAGTATTTCATTTGTGCAGTCTGGAACTCTTGAGCGTGTCATAGCTATTACATATGATAGTATACAGGACATGATCATCTGGACAGACGTTAGTTTGAAACAGATCGCGAGGTGTAACTTCAACGGAGGGAATATAACTGTGATTTACCAGGCTGGGAACGGTAAGATATGAACTAATATTTATCACAAATATTTTGTAAATCTGAAAACAAAACTGGAAGGGTACTACTGTCATGGAAGCAGAATTTAAAATGGGGTTT